CCTTCGAGGGACCCTCACTGGGTCTGCTCTTTTGGGGGCCTGGACTGCATGCTGCTGCTGGCTAGCTGGGAGGGCCGTCAAGGGTGAGGGCAGGGTGCATTCCCCCTGATGGGTGGCGTGCAAGGGACGAACGGGAATGACTGGATCGCCTGGGCCATCTATTCGCAGCCTACGAATTGTTCTTGACAGGCGTCTCCGGGAGAAAGATACATCGGTGCCCTGCCTGGCTCAGCTGGCTCGGCAAGTATCCGTCCACCTTTCTCTTCCCATCCTTCCATCCCGTCGTCAAGAAGCAGCACGTCTTCGGTCTGCGCTACGCAAAGATAAGGCTAGGCAGGGCATTGGCAGGGCATTGGCAGCGCCGCTAGGTACCTGCGTTGCCGTACATACGCGGCGCGCCAGCCATGTACCCCTATTCGTCCTCGGCGCGGCTATTCCAGCTTGTACTTCCTGTGCTACTTCCAGATACGAACAAGCCCAATGACACTGAGGCGTGTTCACCTGTAGCATGCATATTCAGACGCGCCTGTCTTTCTGGCTGCCAACAGCCCGAAAAGGACGCTCCTCCCAGGGATGCCGCGAGAACATCTGCCCATCTCGCCGTCAGTCTAACCCAATCCCGCGCCTCAGTGAGCTGGAATGGAATCACTGCGCCTTGCTCATCGGCCCACGCATCGGCTCCTGCTCACGCCAGTGCCAACAGATGCCCCTGGCGGAGATATGAGATGGAGCAGGCAAGCAAGAAAAGAGAAAACCCAGAGCCAGGTCAAGCAAAGCAAGTCCGCGGTCCAACGAGCAACCGCCAAAGTGGGAGGCCCAGCACTTTGCCCAAGACCCGAGTGGGCGAGGAAAGGAGGGGTTGCCAACAGGGTAGGGCCGGACAGGCAGGGATGGCACTGACAGGGGATACGTACATCCTGTACCTCTTCATTATTAGGTGTATGGGTTGTACTATGAAAATCCATGGGCAGGTACACAGCGAGCGGCGATCCCTTGTTGCCAATCACCAAGATCCAATGTCACCGTTCGCTGAGGCTGTGGAGGGGTCTCCCCTGGCTGCTTGGGTTTGCTGATTACCATGATTTTCATTCGCTTCCCTCGCCTCTCTACACCTTAATTGTTCTTCCGGGAAGCGAAGGCCGCTGTGTCGTCGTCGTATCTTGCAAAGTAGGACAAACTCTAACCGGATGTCTGAGTGCTGACTGTTTGCCAAATCGGACGACTGGCTGGAATGAAGAAGGGATCGGATGTCTCTATTCTGCGCCGTTGAATCCTCCGTGACGAATGGTCTCGCGCCGGCACGGCTCAATCGGATGATCAGAGACAGGGCCCCTTCCCGTCAGCAGTCGTCCACAACTGGGAAGGAAACCGAAGATGAATTGGCATCCTGAGCAAGCACTGCAGGATGCACGAGAACCACTGCGTGCTTGGCGAAAATCAGGAACACGAAACAGCTGACTGGTTGGCATTTCTCGGGTTGACTGGCTCTGGCGGACTGCATCTGTGGCTTGCTGCTGGCCGATTTCACCTGGCCGCGTTCCCTGGCCAAACGCGCAGTCTGAATGGTCCAGTGTTTGCCGGGCTGTTCGCCATCGTCTTGGCCCCTGGGGCCTTCGACTGGTCAGAACTGCGCCGTTCCTGACTCCGTCCCCTGCGTCAGCTCGCGGTGTGCGGCGCGCTGACTGGACCACGGGCGAGCCAAAGGCGAGAGGGCTTGACAACTGACAGCGCTGTCTGGCGGGTTCACCCAGGGGGACTGCGGCCTGCCAGCAAATGACAGGGGGAAAGACCGGATGAACAGGGACGGGGGAGCGGTCGCTTCGGTCGCGCAGAGCCAATGGCCAGGTGCCAACCCGAGAACACCAAGAAAGCCAAGACGAGTAGCCAATCCTTTGCTCGCACCTCTGTTCGTTCGGTGGGGATGGGTGATCCTGAACCTGAACCCGACATGCCATGCTTCTTTCTGCACATGGCATGGAAATGATGACCAACTTGCACAACCTCAAGGGGTCACCGAGGACTTGCTGGTTTTTTTCTCGGTCGATTTTCTGGGCCTCTCTGGGCCTCTCATCCACTGCCCAGCCGCCCTGGAGCACGCCCAAATGACTGGAGCGGCATGCCAACAATTGGCTGGGCGGCACCCGTCCAGACCGTTGCGTTTGTTCACCCCGTGCAGTCATTCGAAACCCCATTGTTGGCCCATGACCACTTGAATCGGCCAGTCTAGACAGCCGATTATTCCGAAGCGAGAGACATCACAGACCAGTTGGCTTCTCAGTCCATCCGTTTCTCGCCCGAGTCCCCTTTTGGGGGTGAAAGGGAAAGATCTCGGGGTAGGGTCGTTCGATTGTTTCCATCATTCGTCCGCCCCCCGTCCAGAGACAGAAGGAAACCGTTGCGCCGGGCGCCACGAGGCCCAACGTTGCGTGCCCTAAGATCCGACCAAGATATCCGTACCCAGTCGCACTCCGGCTGCAACGCGTACACGAGACGACACTACGCTCGATCCTGCGTAGTGCGGTCCTGTTTCCCGTCTGGAAGAAGAAGGGCTCCCGAATTCCGGTGGTGCGTGTGGGAACCGGTGACACGGACGTCGTGCACCGCATTCCTTACGGGGCGCCATAAGATGCGCAGATATCGCTGCGTACCCATCTTTTGCTCGATCCTTCCCATCCGTGGAACAGCAAGCTGGAAAACACGGCAACTGACGTTCGGTTCCAAGGTGTCATTAAGATGGGCTCAAGTGACAGCTCCGAGGGATACGGTAACCCTTGGGGGAGGGGGGATGACGAAAATTCTTTGACAGTTGGGAGAACCAGTCGTCCGTCAGACTCCCGCAGCATGTGAAGCAGCCCCTCACAATTCAATCAACGGACCCGTCTCAGCCATAATGCTGTGCCATGCTTCTCGGCCGATTGAGCCGTGGCATTCATTTGACGCCATCTGACGACATCCCGTCGGTCAATGCCGCCCACTCATCTCATCTCTGCTCACTCGGCGTCTTTCATATACCGCATCTGGGCATTTCCCATCACCATCGCTAACGCTGACGCGCCTTCCCTGCCGCCGAGGGATCAGAATCGAACAATCTACAGATCATCCTGTTGGTGTCGAGCCGCCCGCTGCCCCTGGGCGAATTTTAAACTCGCAACTAATGGGTAACTTTTTGCAAGTGCAGCACCTGCCACTCTTGCAGTTCGCAGACGTCCGTGTGGCCTGTCTGATCTGTCAAAAGTCAAAGCTGCTGTCTGGGTTAGAACACCAACAACCCCATCGATATCAGATCGAACCCCTGTCCTCGCAACACTCCGAACGGTCGCAATACTGAAGATAACGCCAAAATTGAGGAACCCGCATCTGAAAAGGGACACGATTCGCAAAAACCCAGAGAAGTGAGAGATCCGGCCCCCACCACCACCAAGGGCGGAGCGGTCTGCCGACAAGGGTCGTTCCCTACCACCGCGGCTGATGGCCGTTCCTTCATATCGTGACCACCTGCCCGCGAACTGTACTTGACTTTTCGCAGCGGACAGAACAGCCCTCTTTGAGCGAAAGTGCTGCTGGCCTCGGCCGCAGACAAATTGCGGGATGTGACGGTGCAGCCGTGCGCCCCGACGAGGGGCCCTGTGCTTCTTCCCAGCGGGGGAGTCCCTCGTCAAGCGCCGTCGCAAACAAATGAGCCCAACCCGGCCCTCCCTGCCCGCAGTCCTCGGAGACGAGTTCCGAAAAGAGCCTTTTCTGCCCTTCCCATCGCGGGCCATCGTGGGGCCCTTCTTCCCTTTGCAAGTTCGCAAACCGCCTGGCTGGGTCGTCCATAGTGGCCGCGGCAACCACAACGCCTGGGACCGAGAAAGACAGAGAGGGCCAGAAGCGAGCCGCCCTGGGTCCTGGCCGGGGCCAGCCTGGGCGGGCGAAAAGGTGGGCGTGCTGCAGCGTGCGCGATCCATGAAGTCATTTGCTTGTTCGGTGGCCAGCCGTTTCAATGATATTGCTGGTGCCCCGTCCGCTTCAGGTGAGCGTAGGCGGGCGTGGCATGGCATGCATTAGCACCATCTATCTCGCCGTCCAGGTCCAGCGGGCTGTCCTGCCTGCCAAACACGTGCAGATGAAGCCGAGATATGCGGCCTCTTCGTGAGATTTCCCGCCGAGTCCTCTGTTTAAGCATTGGGGGTCTGTTCATTTCTCTGCCGCCTCTTGGGTGTCTTGCGACTGGCTGGGTTTAAGACCTTGCTGAGCCGCCATCTTGTTTTTCGATATTGTCGTCTTCTTGGCAACATCCCATGCTGATGCTTGGCCTTCCTTCGGGGAGAAATGGGTGTTTATTGAGACAGTTCGCTTGGAGAGGCCCGAAGAATACATCTCGGTGCGAACCTCTCGCTTGGTGCAAGTGCAATCCTTCCCAGGTTCTCTTCGTGAAAAATCAGTCTCACCGAGATAACCGTCCTGTCAAAATCTGGCACAGCCGAGGCAGACCGCGTAGACCTTGCGAGTTGCGATGTATAGAGACCCTCCCATATCTCCGCCAATTCTCAAGTCGCCCGCGATCCTTGAAACAAGATGAGGGTGATGAAGTGCGTTGAATAAGAGGCGGGTGGTGGGAGTGCGCGGGGGTCACCGACGGACGTGGGACCCTTCTGAGCGGGCAGCAAGTCTGAGAATTATTAGTGCTCGCTATCAAAAAAGGCTTCCAGAAGGTTGTTCAGAAGCTGTGGAGGGCAGATCCTAGCCAGCTGGCAGGTGACGTGCTCTGCCAGCTGTCTTCCTCAGGTACTCAAAATGACTAAGCCCTGGCACGTCTGATGACATAAGTCATGCTGATTAAGGCCACCATTGCCGCAGCCGTCACGTGCGCCAAACAACCGCCGGCCCATCGGAGCTGTGCCAGCTCGACGACGGGACCTGGCCTGGGCGCTTTGCTCACGGCTCCGGAAATTTCCATACCATCACGGCCCGCCAAACAATATCAAAGTCACCTCCCCCAAGCCATTGAGGCCGCAATCATGGGTGCCAGCGAGTCCAAGCCGTCCTCCAACACGCCGCCACACCTGTGGAAGGCGTAAGTGCCCTCCCAATCCATTGCCCGAACCGATCTGCTCGTCGGTGCAAGGAAACAAACCCAGCTAACCCGCGCCCGCAGCCCAGCGCCCTCGGGCATCTCGCACGACCTCGTCGAGCAGCTGCAGTCCAGCCCAGAGGTAAGTCAACTTCTACTACTCCCGTCACCTGCCAGGACACCAAACATCTCTCCTCCGAGCTCCGTTTCTATGCCGGCCGCCTCAACACTCTTCCCTGCGCGATTTCAAAAAAGCCCCTCCAAACACCCCCCTCAGCACTTCCAAGCTAACCTGAACACCCAATCCACAGACCGATGTCTCCCGCGCCCAGCTCACGGAGCTCCAGATCCAGCGCCGCGTCGCCGAGGAGCTGAAGCGCCTGCGGGCCAAGGAGTCCGAGGCGCTCCGCCTCGCGCACGACAAGATCGCCTCGGAAGAGACCGCCGCGGCGCCCGAGGGTCAGCGCAGCCACGACAGCGTGAAGCAGGAGGTCGAGGCGCTGCGCGCGAAGCTGACGGAGCGCAAGCAGGTGCGCGCGCTGCCCGAGGGCGTGGAGAAGGCGCGCGGCGAGGTGGTGCGGTGTCTGCGCGAGAACGACCGCCGGCCGCTCGACTGCTGGAAGGAGGTGGAGGCGTTCAAGGAGGAGGTGAAGAGGTTGGAGAAGGGCTGGGTTGAGAAGGTCATCTCGTAAAAAAAAAAGGAGAGGCGGTTTTTATGCTATAAGGGACTGGTGACGGTGGTGGTGGGTGGTCTGTCCTATCCCTGATAATCCATCTTTGTATCTTGCGTTTTCAGTTTTTCTGTGATGGATCGGGGAAGGAAGACGCCAGTAGATGGGAGGAGGCAGGCAGATGGTGAGGTGTACAACACATTTTGCGACGGCAAAGATAAAAAAGAGAGAGTTTATAGATGGCGAAATGAATTCGTGGTCACATCATCACAGCCCATGAAGTTGGTATTCCGGCAGATCTACAACATCCTCCTCTACCACACTCTCAGAGGCCTGCTGCGTCTCCTTCTCCCTAGCAGCGAGCATCTTCTCCTCCTTCCGCCTCAACCCCTCCGCCCTCTTGCGCTCCCTCCTGACGGCCGCATCCTCCCACTCGGCGCCGCCCTCGCCCAGCCTCGCGGGCGGTCCCGCCGCGGCGTCCTGCAGCGCGGCGCGGAACCTCGCGATCCGCGCCGCGTTCTCGACGAAGCGCTCGTTGGCGATGTCCACGAGCGTGCGGAGGTAGTCCGCCGAGACGGTGCAGTGGCGGGTGTCGTTGGAGTCGTCGACGTAGCCGACGAGGGACTCGAGGCCGAGACCCATTGTCCGGACGCCCACGATGGGGGTCACCGAGGGCTGCTGGTCGTCGACGGATGGCGCGGCGGGCAGCAGGTTTAGGGCGCCGCTCTCGCGGAAGCCGGCTGCGAGGGCGCATTTGAGGAGGAGCTGGGCGTGGGATGGGGATGCTGTGAGGACGTGGAGGATCTGAAGGGGTGGTTAGTCCAGCTGCAAGCAGGTAGTATTGAAGCATTGGGAGCTGTATGAGGGTGCATGCGAGTGAATGGTGTCAAACATACCATAGGCTCAAACTTGAAGTGTATAAGCCGCCGTCTCCTTCGCCCAGACTGAGTGCTTCCCGCCTCTCCGGCTCCAACCCTCCTCCCTTCGGCTTCAACCACGAGACCAAGCAGCCTCAGCAGCCTGTCGTCCTCATCATGCGGCCCAGGGAGCGGATCATGCGATACATACAACCACGTGCCACCGCCGCCCTTCCCGCCGGGCCCAGCTATCGTCGCCAGCGCAGCACCAGCAGCGTCGTCGTGCTCATCCTCCTTGGCATCACCACCTTCACCATTGAGCACCTGTGCAGACGAAGACTCCTTCCTCTTCCCCTCGAGGAAGACACTCACCCGCCCCGCGCAGCTGCTCGTCGTAACAAAGCCATTCAGGGCGTTGAGCTCGCCAATCAGCTCGCGGATGCCCACGTCCACGGACCCCTTGGGCGAGGCGTCGGTGTACTCCGCGTCGGGAACGCTCAGCTGCTGCAGGATCTTGTGCTTGCGCGCCGTGAAGGCCGCGGGCGGAGAGGGTAGTTGAGCCTGCTGCTGTGGTGCCATTATTTGTGCCTGCCGTGGTAGTGAGTGGTTGTGACTGTATGCGTGTGTGTGTTTGTCTATGCGGGGTGCGGCAGTCACGGGGACAGCACCCGGACGGTCTAATTTGGGTGGACGGGAGACTTGTTCCTGTCAAATCGCTGGATTCTGGGTTGTTGTTGGGCGTCGTACCTTGTTTTCGGCCGTGTAAGTGAGGTTCCTGGAGACTGGCGAAAATTGTGTGTGGTGGTTTGCGGAAGGTACATGCACCGTGTGAGTCGGTGAATGGATACACGGCCCCCTGTCGGCTTGCGAGCCGGCACCAAGCCTCTTTTCAACGCGCTGTGCTACCCCCCGATGTTACATCCCGGGAACCGATAGAGCAGACGATAGCTTGGAGAAATCAGGCTATCTCGCGGTGCATGTGTTGCGGCTTTAATATAAAGTCTTACTCTCCCAGGGGTCGTGACCTGGTTATTTGGATATGAAGCTGTGCTTGATTAGTTTTGAGGCACCGAGCAGCCGGGATTCTTTAGTATGAGCGGTTTAATTCAATTCATATAGATTGAGTTGTTAATTTGTTATACGTTTGCTTTTGAACTGGAATGAGAACGCGACTTGAATCATCCGAGGCTGACTGTGAGCTTACACATGCTTCGAGCCAGAAACGGTAGCGGATGGCAGTCCACGATGTCGAGCGAATAATTTTTGAGTCTGGTCGCCTATTTTGATGCAAGATACGGTCGAAAAGAACTTCCGTTTCACTCTACAACAGCTTTGTGAGGTGTTGTGAATTTTCGACCACAATTCGATCAAAGCCTGTCTGAAACAACACCATCATTCAAAAGTCATAACATCAACAACGTTCCCACGACAAATCATGCTGCACTTACACTGGCATCATGAGCACAGGTTCAGAGGCTCTAATCCTGCTTTGGACGGGTTTGAGGCCCGCGGATCGCCGGGACACACGGCTGTCAAGTCATGATGGACCCTTGCATGAGAGCTTCGCCGTACCCGGTGGCAGCAACACTAGTAGAAAAGTATTATTATGACGTGACAGCCATGATATAACAAGTTGCGGTGTGTTGTGTGATAGCTGGTACAGTATCAATCTGAATATCAGAGACAAGAGCTTGTCGGCCCATTAAGTTCGCTGGGTGACTTTATTGCTCATCTGGCAGAAGGCTTAGCGATGCGCGATGCGCTATGCCCGGACCGAGTAGGTTTCAAACCTGTTGAAAAGGGAATAACTTCGATACCAATCACTCGCCTGATTACCTCCAACGGCCATTGACAAAGTCGCAACAGCTGCTCATTGCAGTATTTATTGTTCCCATCGCCCTCATGTTAGGAATATTTGCCTTCAACACGATTCCATTAGACAAGGAGACCCCAAACGCAAGTCCTGATGTTATATCCTGCTCAAGAACCCGGCTTATTCTAACCTCTCAACTAGTATGTATTGCGTTATCTTTCTCAACGGGCTTCTCACGGGCAGACTTTCGCGTGGCTATATGGCTGACGAGCAGCCACAGACAAGATTGCGCCGATGAAAACGTTCCAATCAACCTTAATATTCAACAATAGACCGTTGGAAGCCAACTAACATATGCAGCTGCGTTGACCAACCGCTTCAAAGGTCAAACTACCAATGATTCGTGATACCCGATCGACACCGGTTCAATCTGCAAACCACCTCATTCCAAGGTCTTAGGAGGATGGATGGATATCTTGTGCAACGATGGATCCTTCCGCACTCGCATCCAATGACACTGCAAGATTAGGAAGGAGGTCACGAGCAGGTTTGCGTGGATGCCGAAATAAGCTTTTTGGCAAGGGACGTCAGTGAACTAACATGCTTTGGTGTGTTTTACGAGCAAGACTGTTAGCATCTTATGAGCCGTGGTCACCCGTGCCCACTTTTGTCCCGGATGCGGGGTCTCAGCGGGACGCAGGATGGAGGAGCCGCACATCACACCCACACATCTCACACTTCACTTTCACGTTCAGAGCAACAAGGCGTCTTCATGGATTCTTTATCTTATTTCATATTTTCCCATCTAATCTGATAGGATCTGGGGTGGTATCCGCGATACGCGCGAGATACAATCATGGTTCTATGACTTTGAAAACCCCCATCATCCGGAACGCCCGCATGCTGTCCCGTGCCGTTTCCCTTTTTAGTTATGCTCCCGAAATCTCAACGCCGTCATGCCATCATATGTACAGGTCATTATAAGTTAAAAGAAAATCGCTCACGTCAAAAGACATGACGCTCACAGCGACGCGACGGCCTGCTCCTCCTTCTCCGCCTTGACAACAGGCGCGATGGCAGCTTGACCCGCCTTCTCAGCCTCGGCCGACGACGACGGCGCCGCCTTCTTGGCCTCGACGGCCTTGCGCTCCATCTCCTCGAGGTACTGCGCGTAGCGCGACTTCTTGTTGTGGATGCCGCACTCGGTCTTCTGCTGGCCCTTCCAGCGGCCGGCGCGCTCGTCCTCGCCCTCCTTGACGGGCACCGTCGAATGCCAGTCGCCGACGGACTTGTACCCGCGGTCGAGCAGGTCGTTGTACGGCACGTTGTGCGTCTTGATGTAGTCCTGGACCTGCTTGAAGGACCACTTGACGAGCGGGTTGATCTTGACGACGCCGCGCTCGTCGTCGACCTCGATGATGGGGATCTTGTCGCGCGCGCCGCCCTGGGAGCGGCGGCGGCCGGTCAGCACGGCGGCGACGCCGAGCTCCTGGTACGCGCGCTGCAGGGGCTCGACCTTGGCGATCCAGTCGTACATCTCGGCCTCGGTCTCGTAGAGGCGGGCGCCGTACATGGCCTCGAACTGGGCGGTGGTGTCGACGCCGAAGGGCTTGAAGACGTGCAGCTTGACGTTGGGGTAGCGCTGCTGGATGCGGTCGACGAGGGCGTGGGTCTCGGAGAAGTGGTAGAGGGTGTCGAGGAAGATGAGGTCGACGTTGGCGGCGGCGGGGTTCTCCTTCTGGATCTTGGAGAGCATGTCGAGGGTGACGAGGCCGGTGAGGCCGAAGGCGGTGGACTGGAAGAGGTTGGGGAACATGACGCGGCAGAAGCGCAGGATGTCGATGGGGTGCATGTCCTCGAGCTGGTCGTTGAGGTGCTTGAGGTGGGGCTGGGTGAGGGAGATGAGCGGCATGGCTGCGATGGAGGACGACGTCGACGAGGCGTCGGTGGCGGAGCCGTACCCGGACTCGACCTCCTGCTGGTCCAGCTTGGCGGCCTCGACGGCGTTGAGTCTGGGGGACGACGCCACGGAGGACGTCGCGGTGGCAGCTTCAACAGCGGACGACATGTTGAAGGTGCTGTTTGGATGTGAAAGAGGGCAGAAGGGTTGGGTGAGGAGGAGGGGTTCCTGCTGCTGAGGTGATGAGAGCCCGGGGTTATATGGTGAGTGTTGCTGTGTGAGGAGGGTGTGTTGTTGAAAACCCGGGGTATATTCGCTGAGGACGGCTCTTGTCGAAAGAGATGAAAGAGATGAACCGAAAAGCAAATGACGCAAGATGCTAGTCTGGGGTGAAGTGAGATCAGATTTGGATCAGAGAGAAAGAAGGAAGGCGAGAGACTGTTTTATGAGGAACGGGCTCGGAGGACCAGGAGGGAGACTTACACGGCGGGAAGGGGGCGGGAGGAGCATCATTTTCCGGGCACAGGGCATCATCAAGCAACATTACTAATTTGATTTTTCACCAAGTACGCCCTTCTAGCACGATCGAACGAACCAAAGGCCGATAGAGGAGTGCAGATGGGCACCCGCACGCTGGAGCCTGCCCAGGTATTGCGCAATAGCTGGCAAGTGGAAGCTTGCATTGAGAGCCAGGCGCTTGAGGAATATTTTGCAACTCTCCTACGACGAGGCGTGGTCTGGGAGCAATCACGACATCGACGCTAAACCTTTCGTGATGAGGGCGGCGAGACGTGATTGGCCGCGCGAGGCAGGGGATCCTCCGTACCGTGGACATCCCGCAATTGCGCCATCGCCCCGGGTGCCGGAGTAGATTTTCTTTGCAAAAGATTTGCCTCTGGCCCGGTTCCCGGCAGCCGGAAGCCGCAATTTGGGTGAGTATAACATTGGGGCCGTGTCCGGTCTGCTTGTATTTGTGAGAAGAAGCCCCGAAATTCGACGATGATCTGGGACTGCCTGGAGGTTCAGCGACCAAAAACGAAACGGGGGCCTTCGTTCCACGAGAGACACCGGTGCGGATTCGCCATGATGATGCGAGAAGACGTGATTCCGCGCGGGCCACTAGTCGGCTTGGCCACTAGTGGGTGTTACGGCACTCGGTGGCTTGAGGCTTCGTTTCCATTGTTTCTAGTCTCGGGGCGGCACGGCAGTCGGCCGGCCGTCGGTGGGACTGTGACATGGTGATCCGGCGTCTGAGGCCCATTCATCCATCCCGCGCCGGACTTTGGGCGCGCGCACGCAATCCATTGCCAACAAACCTCCCCCATGATCATGGTCCATCCATCACATTGCATCCCACCTGCCAACGCCCCGATGCCCAGGGGCTATTATCCATGGCAACCTGAACCCGCCCGTTGAAAAAAATGCCTGGCATATCCACAATCGGGTTTCGACGTGAGATTCGTTTCGTTTTATCACCGCTCCGAGGGCTTCCTTCGCGGTGCCGACTTCGTCCGAGGATGCTCACCGCTTGAGGCCACGGCCTTTAAAAGGAGATGGCGGGCTGTATGGGCGGTTATGGCGGCGAGCAAGAAGACTCCTCCTTCAGGGGGTTTACTCGGATGATTTAAGCTCCCGCTTGGGAACGAGTTGATGTATCCTTCTTGGAGGAGCTGAACCATCTCCATTGTGAGAATGAGAGCAAAGCCCGTAGGCCACTTGGCCAACTCCTGCAGGGCTGAGTTTGATCCATCATCACCAGTCAGACTCTCAGACTCTCAGGCGCCACTGCCAGCTCATCAATCTGGCAGAGCCCCATCACCAACATCAAACTTCCGAGAGTCAAAGGCCGATGGCGGATGCGGCGAAGAGGAGAACAAAACCCCCCATCAGCAGCGCAGGACATATCGTAATCAGTCATCTACAACGGATGGCTGTACTCCTCGATCGTGCGTCTTATTCCCGCTTGACTCCGTCCGCTATCAGCGGAGACCGTTGTCTCCAAGCCTCCTGGGCTGTTGCGGTGTCCGCCTGTCGCTGCTCAGCCATGATCAGTCATCGGCTCCTGCGGTGACGGGATGACAAACAACTTACAAGTTGGAAGCGTCTGACTAAACAAGACCACAGACCACTAGCAAGAGTGTCTGAGGTAAGCTGGCCCGAGCCCAAGTGACGGTGACAGCCCAGCTAGGTTCCGTACGCGGTTCCGTATGTACTAGGGGGCGATAAAGCAGGCGATAGGGCTGCCACCAGGGAATCATCCATCCACTGACGACTGAATGATGTTGACGAATGACGACTGGCGCCGGCACATTCGGACGAGGCTAAAGCATGGGAGGGCATCGAGGTGCACCGCAGCGCTGATCCCAGGCTGACAGCGGACGAGTGTCACCGGGGCCTTACCTCCGTCGACCGTTGCAAAAAGAGAAGTCGCCTCACCTTGAACTGACACTCACCGACAACTTTCACTCAACTCGCACTCACCGTTAGTGTCCTTGCGCACCCACCACCCGCAACGGATAGGGGAGAGAAAAGATTGACGGAACCACCACCACCACCCCTGGCCGGAGGTGATGTAATGCGGCCTCTCACCGTGCCATCCGTACCTGACGTTAGCCCTCTCCCGGCCGTGTCAAAAATTTCGTCGGGGCCACCACGTGATGCGCAGAGTCCACCGTCGCGCCAACGCACATCATCCACGGGCGCTGCCTCGGCCAATGAGACGCCGGGGATGACCACGGCGCACGGCGTTGGCGGATCCCAGCTTCGGCTCCGGACCAGTGACGGAGAGGCGGGGGCTGAACACACACAGTTCATCCTCACAGTGTGTGTGTGCCTTGTCTGCCAGCCAGCCTTCTCCTCTCTAGGTCTCTCCCACGCGGCGGCTGTGACTGTTACTGCTGCTGCTGCTGCTGCTGCCACTGTTAATTACTGCTATTGTTGGTTTGCTCTCTGTCCCGTCCTGTCGTCCAACCACGCGGTGGTCTCTGTTTTACCTTCGAAACATGAGTCGACGCGGTTCGCTGTGAATTTCATTCTAGCTTTCTGCCTCTTTCACGAGCAACGCCCAGCTCAGCCCAGCTCAGCTCCCCCTCCGAGCTTCCCTCTTTCTCTCTCTCTCTCTCCCCCCCGCGCCGCCGTCCCATTCCCCTCCTCTCATCCTCCTTCCCTCCCTCCCTCTTCACCTCAAGCTCGTCCGTTGCTGCTCAGCTCTTATCGCTGCAGCTTGGTTGGTCGCCCGTTGCATCGCCTTTTTTTCCCTCCCGACTCCCCAAACCCCTCCATCACCAACCCCGCCTTCCGGCGTGTGGTGGTTTTTTTTTTACAAGACGACGGGAAAAAAAAAGGAAAAAAAGGACAAAATCGTCTCCGCCATGGCCGACGCAAGCCCCGCCAAGTCCACAACCTCACCCCGACCGCAGCTCACCTCGTCCATGAGGAGCAGCTCCTTCCTGCGCGAGCACCAGCAGTACCGGCCGCCCCAGCACCCGGAAAGCCGCTTCGGCATCGACACCGTCGTCGAGGACCTGAGCAACACCTCCCTCGCCTCGCCGCCCAGGCACAGCCACTCCCCCGGCAAGAATTTCGTAGCCTTCAATGGCGTCCCCTCCGAGGAGAACCCCCCGACCATCGTCGACAGCGGCCTGAACCACACCTACTCCCACCCCAACTGCGCCCCCGCCGCCGGCAAGCCGCGCTCCGACCGCCTCATTGCGACCCTGTTCTATAAACCGAACGGCAAGCATGCCTCTCCCACCGGCGCCGGCGTAGCAGCAGCAGCCGCAGCATCCGCCCCGCCCGCCGCCGCCGCCGCCGCCGCTCCGGCCTCATCCTCCGACGCCGGCAGCACCAAGGAGTCCATCCCGGCCAACTTCGCGCCCACCCAGAACCCGGACTCCTTCCCCCTCGAGCCGCCCGCCTCGGAGCCCGAGAAGCTCGACCACCTCTACGGCTCCTACATCTCGCCCATGTGCGTCTCCTCCTTCCTGCACCTCATGTCCACCTTCCCGCTGCCCGCCGGCCACGACGGCTCCGACTACACCTCCTCCCACCGCTGCCTCGACACCCAGCCGACCCCGCGCGTTGTCGAGCTCACCCTCGACCCGGCCCCCTGCCGCAGCTACCTCTCCCTCACCGACCTGCGCCGCCACGAGCTCATCTACCGCTTCGAGCGCGAGTGGGGCGTCGACGTCGCCCTCCAGCCCGACTCCCTCTGGCGCCGCCACCCGCGCCTCGTCGTCTTCGACATGGACTCCACCCTCATCACCCAGGAGGTCATCGACCTGCTCGCCGCCCACGCGCCCGCCGACGGCATCGCCGAGAAGGTCGCCGACATCACCCACCGCGCCATGCTCGGCGAGCTCGAGTTCGACGCCGCCTTCCGCGAGCGCGTGCAGCTTCTCAAGGGCGTGCCCGCCTCCTTCTTCGAGACCCTGCGCCCTGTGTTGGACGTCACCCGCGGCGTGCCCGCGCTGATCAAGGCGCTGAAGCGTCTCGGCGTCAAGACCGCGGTCCTCTCGGGCGGATTTCTGCCGCTGACGGCCTGGCTTGCGGGAGAGCTCGGCATCGACCACGCGCACGCGAACGAGGTTGTCGTGGACGAGGCGACGGGCGCGCTGACGGGCGAGGTGAAGGGGCTGATTGTCGGGAAGGAGCGCAAGCGCGACCTCCTCGTGGAGATTGCGGGTAAGGAGGGGATTGATCTGTCGCAGGTCGTGGCGGTCGGCGACGGGGCGAACGACCTGCTGATGATGGGCGCGGCGGGGCTCGGCGTGGCGTGGAACGCGAAGCCGATGGTGCAGATGGAGGCCGACACGCGGCTGAACAGCGAGAGCCTGTTGGATCTGCTGTATCTGTTCGGGTTCACTGGTGATGAGATTGAGCAGCTTGCTTCGTAGAGAGAGCGGGGCGGGCGGGTGTGGTGTAAAATGGGGGAGTCGTCAAGGACTTGGCGTAGGCGTAGGCTGTGATGTGAGGTGTTTTGGGGAGTTGGAGCATCACCTCTGGAGGGGCTTGTTCGTGGGAGTATCAATACATGCCACCTGACTTAATTGCATGCTGTTGAAAATCTGATACCAATTTCTTCGAGTGAGGGCGGGAGATTTCCAGGACAGTCATTTGAGTCTTGACTCATGTTTAGATGAGAGAGAAACTGCGTAGTTGAGAGTGAACGTAAAGCCATTCTGTAGGGTAAACAAGAAAATTGTAGCAAAAATTCTGAATTCTCCCTATCTACACATGAAAACCACACCTTCCGTCCGTTGCACAGCTTGCGCGAATGCCCGTGTCTTCTTCGTCTACGCTGCCGGTATCATTAAATTCTTTAGTAACCGTCCTTGCCCCACTTGTTGTACTTGTCGTGCAACTCCTGTAGAAAACAAGAGTCAGCCTGGAGATGTCCTTGATTCGAATCTCGAAGTATCCGTCATCCGCGGGGCCGATCTTGCAGCCTGCCTCCGCACGACAAATGACCATCCTCCTCACGGGATTCATTAATTCCTCGCCAGCATGGAAAAACGTACCTTGGGGAGAGTGACGTCGGGGATGATGACGGTGTTGACGGCGCTGGGAGCGTCCTTGGGCTCGTTGTTGGGGTTGCCGCCGGGATGGTACTTGTACTTGCCCTCGGAGTCGGTCTCCCAGGGCATACCGGCCTTCAGGACGGCGCTCTCGGAGGTGGAGGTGGTGGGGGTGCGGCCTGCGGTCGAGGGTCAGCGGGATTGCGGAAAATTGCGAAATGGGTTGGGGTGAGGTTACCGAAGTAGAGACCAGCACCGCCGAGCGCGGCAGCCATGACAGCACCGAGGATCTGTCGTAGAAAATTCGATTAGCTTCCATTTTACGTCGTTTTCCCCGTCCCCCGCACGCCAATCGACCCAAAATGCCATATCATGTCCGTCTCCGCAATCTGAAGGGCGAAATAATGAACTATGGGTGTTCGGCGGGCGGCGTTGCGGTTGTGGTCGCGGAGAGGGAGGCATCGTGATGTAAGGCTTTATTTCGGGATTTGGAGAAACTGGGTCTTTTTGGGGCTGGGTGGGAGATATCACGCACGTAGAGCTCGGGGTTGCGCTTGGACTCCTGGGTGAGCTGCTGCTTGGCGTGGTCGTCGGCGAAGCGGCGGAGGGAGGTAGAGAAGGTGCGGCGGGCGACGAAGGAGGCCATTGTTGCGGTGTTGCGCGGGCGTTTGGTGGTGGGATTGGGTGTGGTTGTGAGAGGTGAGGTTCGGCTGTCGTATGATTTCGGAGCTTCGAGACGGGATTCCAATGTTGAAATTCGGGAGAAACGATTGGCCGGGTGAAGGGAGGGAGGTGATTGGCCAATGGTGGGTGAGGTGGGCATTACCTCATTCTGTGTGGCTTTGGTGCATGGTATGCGAGTAAAGAGGTCCTGTGGTCTAAGAAGGATACTCTACTAAGCCAGACTTCGATTATCATCATCACCCATGCTCCGAGTCGAAACCGGTGAATACTCGAGATTCACGATTCAATCCTCGCGGTCTCGTCAAGTGATATTGTATTGCCAGAGACGCCTTTGAAAACGTGGCAAACGCACAGCAGTAACAACTGGCTGGCAGTGCTGGTGGCCGTGGTCAGCAAAGCTACATACCATTGGCCATCCCGGACTTATTCGTATACATGGCTGAATGCTGACCTCCGAAGTTGTTGAAGTCTTTGGAATCACTCTTGTTAAAAGTCACGATAGACCGCCTAAGATTTCCATCATGGAGATCCAGCGACAAAATGGCATATCAGCCATATCTACTGCAACCTGGTGTATGTCGAGCAGTTGAGTTTCTCTTCGGCCTGGCAAACACGCTTTGTGCCGTTGCGGCTCTTAACGATGTGGAGCCCGTATCGCTCGGCGAAGTCATCATGATCATCATTACGCCAGTATTGTCTTTGGTGGCGGCGTCTCTTGAGGGAGTTTACGAAGCAGACCGACAGGTGGAGTTACGCCTACGAGATGAAGATGGTTGAATCCAGCAATGAATGTGAGACCAAGGTCCCAAAACTGCGCGCGACCAGTAAGCTCTCATATCAATCACACGTACTCCTTCAGACGAAAGATTGCCGTGATGGATGCGATCTGAGGCAGCCAATAGAGAGACCGGCTAACGGTGTTACATTCAGGAACATCCCGTGTTCGCAACCTTCTGTCTATGCTTTGGGACTTGTAAGCCTGGTTCAGATGTCGAGACGTGCGGTTCGTGTCGGCATCGGGAGATGGCATATGCAAGTGTTTTCGCTGATGGGATGACCCATGTTTCGACAGCGATGCAAGATGTGTAAATACCAGACGAAATTCGCGGTGGTTTAGCGTTAAGCAATTTCGGCATGAATGGATTTCATCGACGTCGCAGAAGCGGCAATGCAGAGTCTCAGTGTTTCCCGCGTGTATCTGTCAGCAAATCGAGTGATTGCGTCTGGAAAGAGTGGTTCAAGCATTTCCCTGTTACACGGGTTGTTGGCAGCGTCTTATGAGCGAGGTCTAACCCGGGATTCCGGGTAGATCGCGGCGGACCCTCGACGACGTTGCAGCAGCCTCAGCGGCTCTCCAAAGAGGGGCAAGACGCGTCTTGAGCCATGTGATTCAATGTCAACATCGACCAAAACAAAACAGCCTTCATTCCGAGGACCGCGAAGAACATGTCAAAGAACGAACGAACGCCATCGACATACTTCGAGGCTAGAAGAAGACTGGCCCGTGCGGGGCATCCCAATCTCAATTCTCAGGTGCAGGTTTGGCGTCGCAGCGCTCAGGTCGCTCGTCGCTCGCGCGCAGACAGTTGAAGGTCGCAATGGTGCCTGAACGGTTCCATCGTCCCAGAAATCTCGTCACCCCGGCATTGCAGCCGTCACGGGCGCGGCGTCCCGTTGGCTGCTGTGCTGCTGTAGCAATTTAAACCTGGGGCCCCCAATGCGGCAATTGCAATCAAAATTGGCTGGCACAACAGCAGCCGCTGTGCATAAACAGGCGGCCATTGCCGTTTCAGAGTGGGCCTGAGCGCAGCTGCTATCATTAATATATTGTCAGCCACGCAGAGTCCTGTTAGTGATGACAGGCGGCAGCTACTTGTCGAGGCAGCACCGCTAGTCCCGTCTGGGTGGTTGTGCATGCACAAAGCACGGATATACCCAGGCACATCCATCGCCCCCCTTACTGCGTCCTTCAGTGTTGTGAGGTGCCCCCCCCCCCGGCTCTGCCTTATGCTTTTCCCACCCGGCTTCCCTTCCCTGGCCTGGCCTGGCCTCGCCAACCTCTAGTCAGTGGAGGTTGCTTTTTCGCCTGTCCTGGTGGTCCGTCTCGAAAAAAGGAACTCCAGGCAAGACAAGAAACTCCATCTCTGGTCGTCTCTTTTCCGCTGCTTCGCTCATTGTCACGGCCTATCCGCCAATCCTTTTTCTTTTCTCTCCCACTCCGTCACTCTCTCACCACCTTAGACCCATCTTCGACGCTCCGACGTCCCAACGATACGACGACACGAATACCTACAAACCCACACACTCCCTCATTCACCTACTCGACCTACCGACCGTACCATACCGACCTTACCTTAATTCACGGGCCTTTTTCCCGTCTTCTACTCTTCGCACGACCTTTTTTTAATACCCATTTCCCGCCGCACACTCTGCGCTCCCACCTTTTTCGAACCTTCCGCCCTGCATTACGCCGAGTCTACCGGTCCTATCGCGCGCCCACGCACGAAATCGTCACGTCCGCCAAAGCGCCGATTTCTACCCCCGACGCCCACTGCCGACCGATCATCTCCCTCCTCGATAGGTCTTCATCCGAGCCTTCACCAACCTCACGATATTGATCCCCGCCTAGAGAGCGACATGTTATAGTGGAGAACCGATACGAATACCCGAATAACTTTGCGCCGACAGCGGTTTACCGATCGCAGCGCTGATCATGGCCTCCAAAGACCAGGGCTCCGGCCCCAACAAACCTCCCGCCGACGACGACGGCTTCCCGAAACCTCAGTTCCCCGGGCGCTCCGACAGGCCAGGCCCCCCGAGCATCATCTCTTCGCGTATGACCGATATCGCGTCCGACGACGGCGGGGAAGCCGCCACCCAGCAGACTCTTTCCGAGAACCCGCGCAGGAAAAGCGGCATGGCCTCCGAGACTGTGTCGCGGCCAGGAACGGCAAAGACAGGCATGTCTGGATCCAGAGAAGGCTGGCGACGAGGGCCCCCTCCGCGACTGAACTACATTACGAGTCTGCACGAGAAGAGGGGGAGTATTGGCGGGGGCAGTACTGCCGGCTCCGTCAACACTCGGCCGCCCAGCGCCGCCAGCCGCAGCCATGTCCCATCTCTCACATCTTCGGCCTTTTTTCGTCCCATGAGTTCCCAGAAACTGCAGGCCCAGCGCGGCGGCGCATCTCGCCCCTCAACCCAAAACCGACAACAACCGACTCTGGAGGATGCCGAGCCTGCGGAACCGAGTCCTGCGGCTGCGGCTGCTGTGGCCAGTGGCGGACCGAATGCTCGGCACAGCGTTATCTCAAACCCGGTTTCGAACCCCGTTGCTCGCCTTCAGAGGCAGCTCAGCGGTGATGGTGAAGGAAGGCCACCTCCATCCCGAGGAACTGAATACACCGACCAGGGAACCTACGACAGAATAACCGCCAACACCAGCCCGACACACGGCCATTACCCAGCAGGCAGCATGTCTGAAAGCGTCACCCCGATATACCGCCAACAGCGCAACAGCCGGAACCTAAGCGTGAATGTGGACAGACGGTTCAGGGATCGAGGCAACCAGAGCCCCGCCAAGTCGCCGCGATCCTTCCGCTCAAGCTTCTTGCTGCCAGGGAGAAGCGACGGCGAGCAGAACAAGTCCAACCGAAGCCTGCCGGGCGCCGAGAAGCTTTCGTCGAATGCCTCGACCCCGCGACTGAACCCGGTGGACTCCTCGAGACCCGCAGACAAGAACAACTTGAGGAAGTCGAAAACCAACCTTGGCTACGTCTTTGAATATTTTGAAGGAAACACCGTCTTCTGTCTCGGTGGTCGTTTCCAGAACACCAAGCATCGGCCAGTGAACGTCGCCACGGGACTGTTCATCATCATCCCTGCTGTGCTCTTCTTCATCTTCTCTGCACCATGGATATGGCATAACATTAGCCCTGCCATACCCATAACGTTTGCATACCTCTTCTACATCTGCATCTCCTCCTTCCTCCATGCGTCTGTTTCTGACCCTGGTGTAAGTTCGACCCTCCAAAAGTGAGTGAAACTGCTGACATGCCTCAGATTCTTCCTCGTAATCTTCACGTTTTCCCTCCCCTGGAACCCACCGAAGACCCCCTCCGACTAGGCCCTCCGACAAACGACTGGACTCTCATCAAGTCCGCCGAGTCCTCCACCGCAGCCATGGAGGTTCCCGTCAAGCACTGCCGAACGTGCAACATCTGGCGACCTCCTCGCGCTCATCACTGCCGTCTCTGCGACAACTGCATCGAGACCCACGACCACCACTGCGTCTGGCTCAACAACTGCGTTGGCCGACGTAACTACCGATATTTCTTTGCCTTCGTGTCATCCGCCACATTCCTCTCGCTCTACCTTATGGGTGCCTCTCTGGCCCAAATCCTCATCCACATGAACCTTTCCGGCATTTCCTTTGGCCAATCCATCGACGACTTCCGCGTCCCGTTTGCGATGGTTATCTACGGTTTCATTTCTTTCCTGTACCCGGCCGCCCTAATGGGCTACCACATCTTCTTGATGGCGCGAGGCGAGACGACTAGAGAGTACATCAACTCCCACAAGTTCATCAAGAAGGAGCGCTTCCGGGCCTTCACCCAAGGCAGCATGCCCAAGAACTGTATCGTTGTCCTCTGCCGACCTCGGCCACCTACCTACTACCAATTCAAGAAGCGGTACAATTCTGGCGACCAGCGTCTCGGTGCCTACAGGGAGCAACCCAAGGGCGACTCCCAGGGCATGGAGATGCACAGCGTGAAGCCAGCGTCCGGGTTCCAAGGCCCCGTTTCTTTACGCAACGAAGCAAACACTGCTACGACATAATTCTTTTTCTTACTTGTTTGGTGCTCGGCGTTATCCGTGGGAGCGATCATGCGTCTACTGGACCCTGGATACCTGTAATGTATGTTTTCTATTATATCCGCCTCTGCCTGCATGCCAGGTGGACAGACAGCGCTTGTTATCTTCAGCATGGGAGATGACAAGCTAAGACATGAGGCTGGGGCGAACCGCTTCATACCTGGAGCTTGTACATAGACAATTGGCGCTACTCACTGCGCTTGCAAAAACAAATCTTAGCGAATACCCAACAATCAAGTCTATACGCCGCAGTGAAGTGATGTACGTTGCAAAGTGAATCACTGCCGATGTTCTGTTTCCAGCCAGCGTCCTACCTCAGCCGCGACATGCTTTCACTTCATCACTGGCGAAATCGCAACTGCTTGGGAGTTAGTCACTGTGCCACCATAACCAGCAAACACCCCATAAATACCCTCCACATCCTGCGCAGAAGGATCTGCCCAGGAGCAGACGTGGCATAAAGTAATAACCTGCACTTCCTCACGAGAATCCCCAGTTGTTACAAGACAGACAGACAACTCTCACAATGCACTACGAATTCGACGGCTACTCCGAGGCCAGCAACTCGCCGGGCCGGGCCGCCGCCCCGCGTGCGCAAGGCGGTGGACAGAACCGGGACCAGCGGCAAGATCACAACAACAGCGACCGCGGCCGCGAGGAGGACAACCAGTACCCCAACGGCTTCTACCGCGGAACGGGCCGCTTTGCGCGCGAGAACTTTGAGAGCGAGCGGCGCGAGCGTGAACGCGAGCGCGGCCAGCAGCAGCAGCAGCGGACGTTTGGCGCGTCGCCGTATCGGTCTGCTGCGTTTGAGTACATGGACACGGGAGGCAGGGGGAGGAGCGAGGAGGAGTGGGGGCGGGTGTTTATGGAGGCTTTTCGGAGGAGAGCCGGCGCAGATGGAGGAGGTGGTGGTAGTGGTGGTGGCGGCGGCAGGATGGGCATGGACGAGAGGGAGGGGTACGCAGGAGGAGGAGGAGCAGGAGGGTATGAGCCGCGCGGATACGGAGCGGAGCGGGAGATGGGATTTGAGGAGTTTCTAAGCGGGGTCTTTGGCGGCGGGGGTTTCGGCGGGCGCTTTGGCCCGGAGGCCGGGGGCTACGGTTACGGCTCCGGTGGTGGTGGTGTGGGGGTCAGCTTTGAGGAGATGTTCGGGCCGCCGCCTGGCTTCGGCGAGGGCTCCTCCCCCGGTGCCGGTGGGGGTTACGGTGGAGGACGAGGTCCGGGGTACAACAGGGGAGCCGATGAGCAGAACGAGCACGACCGGCGGGGAGGCGCGGGGATGACGCGGGACGAGTTCGATAACATGTTCCGGGCGCGGTTCGAGGGCCCGAGCATCAACGGGTACGCGTCCGGCCCGCCGCCTGCTGATTTGTTTGATCGGTGGTATACGGATTGGTAGATATTGGCTGGCTGGGTGGCAGTGAGTGAGTGAGTGAGTGAGTGAGGGAGAGTGTGCGAGTGTGTTCTACAACACGCGGGTGGGGATCGGTAGTTGCAGCTCGGCAGATGTATCCGTAGCGAAATCCAGTGCAACAGTCTCTCTTGCGTCGTGGTGACATTCGGGATTTGTGTTTCGTGAGTGCATCGCTGCGTGGCCTGATCATGGGCCGGGAGCGCTCGGGGAGGGGGCTATAAGACAACAAACCAGACATGATGTGCGATTTCATTCCAAATCACCCATGCCCATCGGCACTCTCTTGCGTGTTACTCGAGGTGTTCATCCAGCCTGCCGCGTTCCATGCTTGCTTGATAGGATGGGCCGGGAGAGGGACCGGGGAAGGTTGCTGCGTGGTCAGCATCTCCGTTAATTGAGGGGAAAGGGGGCAGCGAGATAATTGTAATTGCAGCTTCATGAAGGCTGAATAAGGGCAGAAGGGGGAGGGGATGGGCTTGTCTGGGTGCATTTAAGGAGTTGTTCTGCCGAGGTGTGGTGAGCAGTGGAGGAGAGGTTTGTGGATGTGCAGTGTGCTGTGTTGTGCTGGCAAGACGCGGGGGCCTTTTGAGTTCCCGTCCTTTGTTCTCGACCACCCCCGTTTCGAGGCCGGATCGCCGGTCGACATTTCACTGCCATTCGAGACGAACACCGGAGAGCAAACATCACGGAACAGCAATCAGGTTACCCCTCGTACCACCCACCATCACCACCACTCACCCATCGAGGCTCTTGAAGTTGTTGAATCAAGGTTGCATGCGCCACTTCGCCCCTCCGCCAAATAGACTAAGAAGACTGGACTGACCCGCATCTATCTCGCTCAAGCCCGTTTTGATCCCATCACCATCAAACCACCTCCAAATCCCGAAAACAACACAAGCCTCATCGCCTTTTTTGCTTGATGTTCCTTTCACGCCAGACACGACCAATCACCTCCTCCGGCACGCGCCGCATCCGCGCAGCTCCCGCCGATGCCCACCAAAAGCCGACCCTGCACGGGAAATCTCGCTAAAGCTGCGAAGTCCTTTTGACCTGGGCCAATCACGGATGCTGCTCGAGTCGGGGGGTCCAACGTCACCAAAGTCACATACCACCGCCCGCCGGCCTCCGTCCTCCCCCCCTCGTTGCGTGCTGTTGGTCCTCACATCCTCTCCCCCCCCTTCGCCTTCTCCCGCCTCCTTCAGGCTTCCAAGGACGCCCTTCCAACATAAGACCGAACTTGCTCTGTTTCTGTGCGTGCGCCGCACCTTTCCCACAATTATCTTGCTCGGTCTGCAGTTCCCGGCCCCCAAAAAGAAGGATTCGGGCGCAACTCCTGGAAAGGGGAATTGCTCTACACCTATCACATTCACTCTTCCCGCCCTTCACAGTTTTTGGACCAGCAGAACGGAGGAAGGATTCGCCAACCAACCCCCCCAAGCTGAAGCTTCCTCGCTCTTACACCGAACTTGTTACTGAACCAGGAAATCCCAGGAAAGGCGCCTTCGCCCGATCTTGCTGACGGCGGAGCCCCCCAATCTCTCCATATCTCCCTTCCCTCGGACTTCAGCTCTCTGCTCCTCCTCCCGTCCCCCCCAGCCTGGGGGATTCCCCTCTTTTTTCCGTCCTCGTCTGGGTTGCTGTGCGGTTTGTTTGGCTGAACGGGGGTTGGCTTGGGCTGTCCCCAAATCTGCTTGTCCGCAGCCTCGAGCCTCGCGCGGCAAAGGAACCACCTATTTGCTGACCGACGACTACTCGATCGGGCGAAGAGGAGACGGAATAGCCAGACTGGATTGTACTGGATCTGGACCTTGGGAAAACCTTGGAACTCCACGCCAACCGCAAGCCCAGCCCCCCGCCGCCGCCGTCGCGCTGCGCCCGACCACCACCACCACCACCACCACCACCATGGAGTCTCCGCAGCAGCAGCAGCAGCAGCAGCTCTCCCCGTGCCTCGAGGGTGCTTCTGCTGTTGCTGTTCCTGCTGCTGCTGCTCTATCCGTTCCTGTCTCGCCTGTTGACGTCCCCGTCTCCGCCCCTGTGGCGCTGCCAATAGTTACCAAGAGCAAGGTGTACGCCACAGAGGACCATTGGACGTGCCACAGGGGGATCATCACAAGGCTGTACCGGGACGAGAACAAGACGTTGAAGGAGGTCAAGCAGATAATGGAGGAGACTTACTACTTTCATGCAACGTAAGAAAGCCCACCTTGCCCAACCCATCCATACATCCGTCCAAAGCTAGTTCACACTCTTTCCCACCCTTGCTCCTCTTAAAACCCCTCCCCGAAAGAATTTCCCAAAGTTCCACACACAATGTTAAACATTCTCTCCATCCCCTCTTTCGAAAAGGCCAAGAAAGAGATTCGTGGTGTGAAGTAACAATAAAAATGGGGACTGACACGAACGTTACCCGCGCTCTAGGGAGAGGATGTTCAAGACCCGTATCAAGCGCTGGGGCCTCGACAAGAAGTTCAAAGAAGCCGAGGTCCTGGCCATGCTCCAGGTCAAGACCAAGCGCGACGCCGCCGGCAAAAAGACCCGCTTCACCGTCCGCAACCAGGAGGTCGAGTGGGAGCGCATCGCCCACTACCTCAAGCGCCGCCCCGACCTGCAGCGCGACCCGCGCCACGCCTCCCCGGACCAGGACCAGGACGCGCAGCGCGAGCTCGTGCGGCTGCTCAAGGGCGAGCCCGGCCTTGGCCCTGCCGGCGCCGGGGTGGACGAAGAAGACTACGAGGCCGTCGCCCGCTACGGCATCCGCTGCCGCACGCCCTCGCCGCCGCCGATGCCGCGCGTCATCGACCCGGCCGCCGACCTGCGCATCCCGGACGAGATCCTGCGCCTCATGAAGGGCTTCTTCGACGGCGCGTTCCAGGGCCGCATGTGGACCATGGTCGACGACACGCTCTGCGCCGCCGGCCAGCGCGCGCCGTCCCGCGACCGCCCCAACCGCTGGGGCGACTTCATGAGCGACACGCACCGCCACATCGTCGGCCGCCGCGGCGACTTCCGCGGCGCTCACGCGGCCTTGTGTGCGCAGCTCGACGTCCTCCGCTGGATCATCAAGGACCAGGACCCGGAGCTGGCCTTCTTCCTGTGCTACTCCGTGCTCAGCCAGCCGCGCGACATCTCAGAGTGGCTGCTTCCGCACATCTGCACCCTGCACGAGCAGGTCCACGGCCCACGGCACCCGCTGACGCTGATCTGGGCGCGAATCCGGCGCGTCGACCACAGAGAGCGCGTGCGCATCCTGCATTCCCTAGTAAAGTACGGCGCCAAGGACCTGGAGAAGCGGCTCGGCCTGCTCAACATCACTATTCACTACATCCACGGGCTGCAGGGCCAGCTGCTCGCGCGGCTAGGCGAGACGGGCGGCAGCGACTTCGCGGAGATGACGGCGCTGTACGCGAGCACGTCGGCGGCGTACATGGCGCAGGGGCGGCTGCGGGAGGCGTGCAAGTGCCTGTTCGCGCTGGCGGGCTTGCAGCTCACGGCGCAGGAGTTTGAGCAGGCGCGGCTGACGCTGGAGCGGGCGGACGACAATATTGTGGCCGTGGAGCGCGCGGAGGGGCGGACGCCGACGACGATGCGGGTGTGGCAGTACGGCGAGATGGGGCAGCTGAATTACACGGTCGAGAGGGCGAGTAAGTACGGCGAGAGCCTGGCGATGGCGAGGGCGCAGTTTGGGAGGAGTAGTCCACAGGCGTTGATGACGATGTTGTCGTGGAGGGGGTCGTGGCCGTATATGCAGGAGGCGGCGTGAGGGAGACAGGCGTTGAGGGGAAAGAGGGAGATTGTTCACGAGTGGAGAAGCAATTCCTGTACTTTTAGTAGCGATACCATATCAAAAGTAATTCAAGGTTAGCATGGCCGGCGTTCGACATCATGTCCTGTCACAGTCGTCTTCCGTTGGTGTGTTTTTGATGTCATTATGTAGAATGACTGGCCTATTCCGGGCCGTCGTGGTTGAAGTACAGCGCGTCAGGAGGCAGCAAACCATCCCAACTTCCCGGCATGGCCTGTCCTCCCGCGGTAAAGACCCAGTCGAGGTCAAGCCGCATATCCATATCAATCCCCTCGTGGTCGACCTCCCCCCTCTCATCCACCACACCCGGATCCCCCGGCTGCTGCGACGGCGATATGCTCTGAAAGCTGCCGACGCTTCTTGATCCCGCAGGGCTGTCCGTCCTCGCCCTCTTGCGCGACTGGTTCCCTGCAGACGCCGCCCTCACCAACCCCCCACCACCCGACGTCGGCCCCAACCCCGGCCGTCTCGCCGCCGCCGCCCCGGCTCCGCTCAGCCGCCGCGACTTCAGCTCCCACTTGCGCTGCAGCATGAGCAGAAAGTCGCGCGAGCGCTTGGCGCACTCCCACGAGGCGGACAGCTCCTCAAGCGCGCGGAAGCAGACGCTCAGGTGCGTGGCGGTCTTGGCGGTCTTGGCGCGGCGGCGGCGGCGGCGCGACATGGACGCGAAGATGAGGATGATGGCGGCGGAGAAGATGACGGCGACGCCCTGGATGTTGACGCGGCGCAGGGAGTAGCGGCGCTCGTAGAGCAGGATCAGCTTGGCGACGGCGGCGGCGGACTCGATGCACATGCGCTGCGCGTGCATGTAGCCCGGGCCCTGCGGCGGCTGCGGCTGGAGGTAGGAGGAGGACATCCAGGGGCGGTGGGCGTGGATTACGTTTTGGTAGTATTGCATGCTGTTTATGTGAAGTTAGATGGTGTCTAAGTGGTGGCGAGATTTGGAATATGGGGGAAAGGGGGGCTACTGACTGGAGGAGAAGGACGTGTGGCAGGTATGCTCCTTCGGTGTCCTCGAGGTCGACTTGGAGAGCTTCGGGGAGGTTCTCTTTCCAGACGAAGAGCAGGGAGACAATCTGCTCGTTTTTCTCTTGGAGAACGTTTCTTGGAATCTTGGAGTTGCCGTATCTTATAGAGCATTGTTAGTCGTCTTATTCGCATGCGGGAGGTAGCTTGGAGT